AACCAACTTGTTAAAGTGCAACAGTTACGAATTTTATGAAATGCGTGGTCTATTTCAACGTAACAGTATTCTAAGTGTATGCAGTCGTTTGTGGATTCATGAGCAATAAATAAATCTGCATATCATTCGGCCCGCCCCCTTCTATGAAAAAAGGAATCTCGCATGCGTGACATTGTTTACGCGTTGGGCTTTCATTGTAAAATTAAGCATCCATATTGCTTTATTCTGTCTCTGGCCATTATTGAGAGCTTTACAATATTTTTTCTCACTACAATAACGGTAGTGACTGGAAGAATCGCCATGGTAACTGTTAAACTGCGATGGAAATATTATACCTCGTTTTTTTTTTTTTACTGAACCATGACCTTTTGATCGTTTCGTTTGAACTATCACTGAAAAATCGTTTTACCATTTTATACGATCTTTCTCACTGCTAACCCTAACCCCCCGAGTCGTCAATACTCGCCTAAATTTAAATTATTCTTTCCAGTTATATTATTGTTTGGCTATCTTAGAAGCTTTCAAAAATGTTTAATTTCAGCAATTCTTTGTCATGCTGTTATTAAGACTATTCTTGGTGATGCAAACAACGAATTTTGGTAAGTCTCAAACTCTTGTAATGAACTGATCCACTAGTTGATATTTTTTCCACTCCTGGTTTGCGGAAGTACTTTTCGAGTGGTCCCATATCCTCTTCAGGATCAAGACTTTTCATCCACTTCAATTCATTTCAGCACCTCACCTTTAGTGGTAGAAATGTTGGGTTTCCTTCTCCATAAATTAGTGACTTCTTGAACAATGAAACTGTCCTTCAATCTCTTCGTAAGAGTTGTGATTCAAAATCAACCAATACAATTATCAGAATTCATATTCTGTTTCAAAGTACGATAAGGTTTTGCTACCTAAAAATTTAGAAATTACGATATTTATTCATTTGAGTCCATACACAAAAGATTCATGTCACAACTATTTTAGCACTCGCATCAGGTTTTCATCCAGAGTTTTAGATTCATCTCTCACTTCTTGATTCTGGTGAAACTGCAGTTATTCTTAGTATTGATGTTCAAAAGATGTGACCAATAGAATTTGAAGCTTTTTGCGCAGATGCAAGTTGCGTGCTTGTTTGTATGGAATAAAATTTACTTTTCAATCGGAAATGTGCATCTGCGGATGAAGTCTGAATGATTGAAGTGTACATTGTCATGCCCGAAAGCCACTATAAATCTGTTTGCGAAATTTTCATGAATATAATGTATTATATTTCAAAAGAAGATTGATGACCATCACAAGGAAGAAAAGTGTGAAGCATTTTGATACAATAATTTGATTATGCATCCTATCGCCGTACTCATATAGTAAATAAGTAAATTGAGACCAATCTTTTCTTTATAAGCAACTTAAAATGAGGGGATTTAGCTCCCGGTAATAGGAAGCGAGTCGTTTTAGGCTCATACAAATTTTGAATTCCTAGAAAATTATGGAATGACCTTTTGGAATGCAGAACAGCAAAATATGCATACCACTCACTCTCAATGATATCATTTACTATCGCGTCGCATGTTCGATAATTTCGATGAAAAGAAGGGTTTGAATGATTGTGAAGTTTATCAGTGTCTGCGTGCTCATTATATATGTTTTTACGCAAGTGTGATGGATAAATTTAGCAGGCTCGGATAATCTAAACTGATGAAATCTTAACAAGCGCCAATGATGATAACCCGATGTTGACATTCTCTTCGTTCTGCTCTCTTCTCATCCTGAGCAATACAATCTCAATAGAAGCCTAATTTCATACAATTTTCCGGATTATAACAAATCCTTCATATGTAATTGAGAAGATGGATTCATTATAATCATTACACTCTGCGCCCAATAGCGCTCATTCCAAAGAATTCCTTTTTCAAAGTAATGTCTACCAGTTCCATTTTATTGTTACCACCCATCTTTTGTTATATTTTTAAAGGTAAGACTTTCATCACTTTTAAGCTGAATAAATCAAAAGGTACGGAAATGATTTCCTCAACTGTGAGAATAAGGAAATATCACTACTACATCTATTGAAACTTCCTATGTTTCTTGATGATATCACCAGGCCATCCTGATTTGTTGACGACACAACGAACTGAACGATTCACTGATTTTCAGCTAAATTTGCATATCATCCAAATAGATCCTGTTATTAACGTAGTATGAGCCAAACCAATTTATTTTTCGCAAATTTCAAACATTTTTTAAAAATTATGTAAAAAGACTATCTTATGTTATCTTCAGCTGAAGCTTTCTGAAAATTAGGCTCTGTTAGGTTTAATTCAGGCTTAAAACTTTGGTGATGCAAACACATAAGCTATAGCAGTCCCAAATTCGTTAACACAACAAGTAAATAGAGTTCGTCTCTTGGCAAACAATTATAATTATTTAAGAAGGAGGAAATGTTTGACTTCAGTAATAAAATATGCTGTATAACATGGAATCTTTTCGAAAATCTTTTATCAAAAAAAAAATCATCGACATGGAAATAATTACTTCTCATTGGTTCTTATAGCAATGCACATCTATGCAGAGGGAATTTTATCGCAATGTAATACAATTTTTAATAGCTTTTACCCACGAACATCAAATTTCTGATACGAATAATCAAATGAATCATCCGATCGATACGATTCTTCATAGATAAATTTTTTATTTTACTTCCTAAGATAAGAATATTTCTTTTGCTAAAACAATCAAATTTCTATAAAGTACCACTTGAGCATGCTTATTTTTTCTGAACTAAAAAGATAATACTATTTCGAAATTTATATTTAGGATGATGGAATTGATATGATATCACTTCAATATATGGATATTTCTTTTCTTTATATTTCTCTGTTCGATCATATTTCTTGAGAAAGTTGTATAAATTTCTTTATAAAAGTTCAAACCTCGAACTTTTTGCCGAACTTTAGCGGTAATTTTCCAGAAAAAGAGGATAAAAGTGACAGTTGAGCCACATAAAATAGATTGGTACTTGAAGCAGATAAGTGAAATAAAGTTGAAGATATCTCTAGAAAAACCAAATCTGCAGTTCCAAAATGGCTGAATTGGGAAAATTAGTATTTTTAATGTGAAAGGTAAAAAAGGTTTTTAACCAACCGTAAAATCATCTATCATCTCAATTTACTAAAGAATATCATGTGTTTCGATTGTCCAATTTCCGATTGTTAATTATTAAAGTTAAAACTTATCTTACTCATTTTGAAGCATCTATTTGAAATTGAGATGAAAAAATTGGATAATTAGATAAGATGAATCAACTTGTTGATCATTATCACTTACTATCATTATTACTATCATGAAAAAATTTACAGTCATTATCATTACTTTATTTTACTTTCATTATCCTGGAAGTTAAAGTAATTCCAGTTTAAATTATAATTTCAAGTACCTTGGCATTTTTCTTGCTGAGCCGCTTTTCAAGATATCTAATTTTGGTTGGCTCAATAAAAAAAAAAAAGAAAAAGGATGGAAGAGATTGGATTTAAATGATGAAGTGAAATTTTAATTAAGAAAGTTCTCAGATAAACAAGCGACAAATGAACAACCTGAAAATAAGTTTGTTATCGCAAAAAGAGATGTCATAATTTTCATTTCAACAGAACTCCACAGCATGATATTAGAATCCATTCTGAATCATCGTCAATGCTTTCCAAGGAAACACAATTTTATTTTCTATGACAAATTATCTAGAACTTTTTGGATGTTCTCAACTAAATCAATTGAAATAATCCTTTCTAAAAGTATCATTGTGTATCTTTGATTGGTAACAAACTATACCAATTTTAGGTCATCTTGTCGGAGTTAATTTTAAAGATATAAAAGAGGAAGAAAAAGAAGTACTTGAATTCAGATATCTTGTTTTTAAATCGATTCTTCTATGTGAATGGAAACTTAATAGTGATTCAATTTGATTCAGTTTAATTTATTTCTATTTCTTTTCATCTTATCCTTAGGAAATGGAGAATGATGAAAATCGCTTAGGCAAATTTAATGACCTATTTAAAAGCATTCCTACAATTTTTTGCATTGGAAGTGACTCACAAAGAAACAACCTTAGAGAATAATTTGCAGTTATCAAATTGAATGGATCCGTGATGAAAGGGAAAATATAATCATGCTCTTTCATGATCTTCATTATTTTCCCCCTTATTTAATGAGGGACAAAACTTCAAAACTATAAAACTTCATGCAATCATTTAACCATTTATCTGAGAATTTTTAAAGGCTCTCTAAAATACTTCAAAAAGTTCTATTGTAGCATGCAGTAAACAATCGATCCCAACATTTGTTGAACCTGTTATGGAGAATGTCACTGCAATCAAAGGTCAGGATATCGAATTCAAATGCCAGATATCCAAACTTGGCAAACATATGGTACCATTTGAGTTCCTCCAAAGCTCTCCATACTCCTGACTTCAGCAGATCGAAAATAGCGGGAAGGAAATGCGAAAGATTACAAGTTGATATGTGATTTGGCAGATTTTCAAAAATCTGAAGGGATATGAAAGACCCTAGCTTAATTTTTAAAAATTCTTGAAAAAACTCTGGAAATTCACGAAAACAGGATGAGATGTGCTGAGGTCTCCGAATTATGTTCCAAAAAAGTCTTTATCTTATTTCATGATTTCAACTGTGTACAGGCTAATGATTATTTTCCTTAAATTAGCAAACTCATCACGTCAGTAACTGAACCGTATCCGGAAGGATATCCAAGAATGCGTAACACCATTAAAACAAACTTGAGCAGCCTAGTTAGTCTGTTGATGAACGAAAGCAAAACTCGGCCTTTAAATTTCATCTACTAGTGAGTTAATACAAATTTTTTTTAAGTTCAAATGCACTTCTCTTCCTTACAGGTAGCATTTGCCCGAGCAGATACACCACCAAGGTTAATTGCATTTGATGAAAAGGTTTGTTGTATTTCCTATTTTTCACAATTCATCTTTTAACAACGATATTTTGAAGTTTGTATCATTTTTTAATTTCTAATCCAATATGGATTAGAAATAAAATCATTACAATTTAGGTCCAATCCTTCAATTAAATTTAAGGTATTCCGACAACGACACAAATATGAAATTAGGCGGCCAATGAAGGATAACGAATGGATTTTAGTCATCAAGGATGTTCAAGTCAGACTAAAGTTCAAAAAAATTTAAATAACACTTGAATTTCAAATTGATCTGTCTTTTAAATTCAATTATCAAATGTTTCCATTTCAGGAAAATGATATAGGTGGTTACTCGTGCCAGTTAAACACCGACCCAGTACTTTCAAAAACCGGTTACCTTCATCTCAAAGGTTAATCTTTAGCTGAGCGACAAGAGATGGCAGTCAATAAATACTATGTATGATATCCATAGGCGGTGGTGACATGTACTGATGATACCGCTGGATGAGTAATGAACCATGAGAGGGCAGGGATTAACTCCGAGGAATATAGTGAAGAACGAGTGAACGAGATTATCAACATTTGCTGACCCTTTCTCTCCCTATTTTATGAACAAATCTCGAGATAAAATGTCAGTCCGACCCATTTCCCAGCCTCTCACTTAAAAGCTTGACAATCCATTAGTCAACCATTTAGAGCTTATTAATTCCTGATATTTATTCCTTTTGATTTGTTGATTATTGTCCAAAAGGGAAACCCATTCTTCTTCGCCAACTGTGAGAACTATTCCGGATTAAATCCGTCTTCTTTTCCGCTTTCTTCTTCATGCACACATTACGAAGGATCAAATTTACCCAATGATAAGCATAATGTCAAAAAATTTTTGCTCACAAGGAAGTCAAATTCTAGAAGTGTGTAGACTTGAATGGTAAATTGGATTAAACTTTCACTAAAGATCAAAGGTCATACGTTATACGACATAAATAAAATATTAAAGGATTTGTTGGCATCATTCTGGTAATCTACCAGGTTATTTCTACGTTTATTTGTTCATTTACATAATTGTGTTATCCAACAAAAGTTAATTAGAAGTAGACAGAAGAGAAACATGACAAGTTCATAGGTAAATATTGCTTTGTTCAATTAAAATATTGGCATTTTTCTAAAAAAAAAAAAAAAAAACAAGGAAAAAGGACAAATTAAAGTATTGTAAGATTCCAAGATTGATGAGAGGTAAAGGACTATTAATGTGACAAAATGAAGGAAAGACTCGGTTGATTACTGGTTGATTTCTTTATAAGATGTAAATTTTTGTTCCAATAAGTGCTAAATCATTCATTCACCTTTCCTTCCCTCTTCTGTGACCAATTATTGAAGAAGGAGAAACGAACAGGTAAGCTATCAAAGAAGGCAGTAAGTACGGAAGTTAATATTGAGCTAATGAAGCAACAAAAAGGTAGAGAAGAGCTTAAACGACTTGTTAATGGGAGTAGATTTTTGAGAAAAGCCGAATATAAGACTAAATTATTCATCAGCCCTCACCAACACTTGAAATTCAAATGAACTGAGAATTAATTTAGCTCAAGTTAGTCCATATGCATACGAATGGAAGAGATGATGTTTGGGATTTATATTTTGGTAAGATTTTAGCAGAAATATCTGAATCATGCTTCTGTAAACAAATAACCGGATATACACAAATTAAGTAATTAAGAGGTTTAGAAATCAATGACAAGTCATAGTACAGCGAACTTCGACACTAGCTTATATGGATAGCCAAAATACGTTATTAGTCATTGATCCCAGTTATCTCGAGATATTCCTTTTAACTCTTTCGTCCTAGCTGGTATTTCTTGGTATGTTTGATTGATGTTTGAGCATTTTGGATCCCTAAGGAAATTCCAAAGGAAAATGCTATTGCTTTAACAATTCATTTATTCGTAAAAAATCTTTAGTGCCACCATATGTGGCTCGAACAACAGCAGCAACTGTAGAGGTACGTGAGGGACAAAATGTCACTCTGTCATGTCGAGCATTCGGCAATCCACCACCAACTGTCGTTTGGAGGAGGAAAGATCGACAAATTATACGATTTAATGGCGTTACTGGCTACGGAGGTTAATGAAACTTTTGTAAACTGATGAAGATTCTTTGACCTGATTGTAAACGACTGCTTGTAATGGTTTGATTGTCATATTTGACCCGAAAAATTGCAAGTTAATTATCTTATCATAATATTAAAATTCAAAGGTTGTTCCTTTCAGCAAGTGTATTCAATGGTTCCGAAATGACAATCATTAAAGTAAGTCGTAAACATATGAGCGAATATATTTGCATTGCAAGCAATGGTGTACCACCGGATGAATCATGGAGCGTGAAACTTCATGTTACCTGTGAGTTACCGTGCAATAGTCATGAATATAATTCAAACTACTACTCGCAATGTGACCTTGAGATCTGTTTTTTGAAACCGATTTCAGGGTTATGAAATGGAGCAAACAGATCCTTGTTGGGTCGTATATCGCAGAGCTGCTATGTTGAATGTTGAAGAATAATATATTTTTCATTACCTGTTGAAACAAGAATAAATGAGATGAAAAAATAATTTTAAAAGAAGTAGAGTCGTTCTTGGTTTTCTTCCTTGGCATAATTCTGACAAAGTTTTTTTCAAAAGTATCCAAAAACCACTACTTTGAGATGTTTCAGTTAAGCCAATCGTTGTACCGCAGGCTGAAATCGTTCAGGTGACAATGGGCAGTCAGGTTAGCTTGGTTTGCAATGCAGAAGCTTGGCCAAGGCCTTCAGTGAAATGGGGAAAGGATGGGCAAGAAATATTTGATTCGTCAACATTTTCACTAGTAAGTTAAAAAGTTAATCATTTCAATTCTTCCTTGTGTTAGGTTTTCTTGTTTAATGGCGATACAGTACGGAAGCATTTCAAATGTGATTGAAATCTTATAATTCCTTCAGAAATTGCTGATAAGTTTGTAGGAAAACTCACCCCATATATGACAACAAATAATGGAAGCGACGGGGCCAAAGGTTAAAATCGATTGAAACAATTTGCAAATATTCAGATTTCGAAGTTAATTTTTCTAGTCGAACCAAGTGTCAGAAAAATATCGTAGTGTACACATATTGACTATCAAAAATGTTAGCAAAAATGAATTTGGCACCTATCGATGTATTGCGATAAATGACAACGGTGAACACTTCGCTGATATTATTGTGAAAGGTAAAAATTTGTGAATTTAAAAAACTTAATTTCTTGAAAGTGAACCTGTCACCACTTTTTGAAACAAACTTAGAAAATTAATGCAACATGGTTATCAAATAAATATGAAAAATAAAGTACAAATTAAAATATAATTTACTAATAAAGTATAAATTATCACTTATGCTTCGTTGATTTTATTTCTTTCTAGGAAAAGAATAGAATTTGAATTTAAATGAGTTCAATTTCTGAACGTTGCACCTTTAGATTTTCAATTGCACTGGACAATTCACAACAATTCGTTAAAAATTTTTTGTAATTTGTAATCAAATAATCCTTTTTTCCAGAAGGAAACTCTATGTACAATAAATTTGCAACAGTATTCACTGAAGGTTCGTTTTTTATTCCACAATTTTGAAAATTCCAAAATGGGTATGAATTGACTCTCCCGAAAAATGCTCAAAACCGATGCTATTTAATGTAGTGAATTATAGTCTGTTGACGAAATAATACAGAATAACTGTGATACCTTTGAAAAGTGTTACCATTCATAGGTATTTTTGTGAAGAAATTCTTCTACTTATAGCCGGAAGCATGAGATGCAGCAGAGGCGAAAAAACATGAAGAATTTAGAGGTAGGAAATAACAGGCGTGGTATCGAATCCACCTGGTCAGGTTAACTCCAAACCGTTCAAGTTTTTTGCAATGTTGAGCAGACTTATAATTAATTCTTCTTTTGTCTGTTTATTCGTCACTTTGATTTCACAAACATTATGCATAAAACTGTCACTTATCATCGTCCCAATAACTTTAAACAAGCCAAGAAAACAATGTATCACCAATCCTTAATGAGACTCAAAACGGTCAAAATCGCTACAAGTTGACCTTAGGACAATACGCTAAACATGTGATACAGGTGTGACCAAATCTTCATGGTATAACAAGGATGACAAAGGGAGAGTTCTGTTGTTTTCAATGAAAAACAAAAAAGGTCCAGCTCATTGATGAAATGTGGTTTATCACTGGAAATTTTTAAATTGGATTTTCACTTTTCACCTTATTTTCATCTCTCACCTGCATGATTTTTCCTCATTATAAAGTACCTTAACTTTTAACTTCCAGGTTGATACCGTTGCGACATCAGTATTTCCGTGTTTCCAGGTTCCGGATATCTGGATGATGACAGTGGTGATGATGACGATGATGGTGGTAGTGAAAGCAACATTGATAGCAATGACTACAATGATAATCATTCTTTTATACCTCCTTACAAATTGCATAATTCATCTAATTCTGTGGAAAAATCGGCCGACACATTTCAAGTCCAACCGTACTCAGAGAGATTGTTTTCAACACATTCTTCTCAATTATCGCCTCTTGCCGATAGCAACTATGCTTATGGACAAGACCTGCATCGAAAGGATGTGCATGTTGATAATGATAGTGGTTATAATGACCGTAACGGTGATAATCATGGTATTTTATTTTTGTTCTTCTTAGCATCTTGCATGTTATTAATGATTGGATTACTGTACTTGTTGTTGATTGTTAAGAGGTGGGATTAGCATAAGTTCAAAAAGAATTGACTCGATTTCATAACTCGGTATTTCTGATTTCATCTTCCACCAGATCATAGAAAGCCCTGCGGTACCGTTTCGTTTAATTATCCTTGCCCTTTCCTTTCTATGTTTCAGACAGAACAATTATTCATTCAGTACAGAATGCATTTTATTTGTGACATAACTGAATGATCGAATGTGGTCCTGTATCTTTTTAAAAGGGGTTCACGTTTTCAACTTTACATCATTTATTTAATATGCACTCTTAATAAGCCGTCAACGTATGCCTGATTTAATGCCGGAATTTTAACTTTCGGTTATTCGTCCCATCGGACTTTGGACACTACATAGCTACTGCTATTTAAACTAAAATCAACCAAAATTCTGCATCTTCTAATGACACAAGCAAAAATTTTGCTTTTAAAAATACTTCGAAATTTCTTAAATTTCTGTTTACATCCATCCTCCGGCGAAAGGTATGTTGTTATAATAATACTGTCATAAAAGTCAATTCCATCCCAAACAAATTTCTTTTTATAACCAAATTTTATCTATTTTCATCCGTTTAGGGATATAAATTTCTCAATTCTTACACCTTAACTTGTCTTTTGTCATCAGAAAAAATAACAAATTAGAAATTTTTTCCTAAACAAATGATGAAAAACGGAGGGGGGTCACATCTGCAGAAAGCTATCTCATAGACGGAAAGTATAAATTGCAAGCAAACCAATTCTGATAATAACTGATGGTGAAGCATTTATCATTTACACAAAACAAACAACCAAAATTTAATTTATTAGTTCTATGAATGACTGGAAAAATAAATCAGCCAAACCTGGATGATTTGGCTTAAAAAAAGCTTAAAATTGAGACCTTTTAGAATGATTTACACCAAAAGGATTCCAAATTTACTTTTTTTTCTTCGACAAAATAATTTTGATTTTTTTTTAAACAGTCAGATTTCCGAAATCGAAAAGCTTGACGTATGACTCTGAGTTACCTGACTAAATCTGATTAAAATCTATATAGACTTGGCATTGTGACGATATCGAATTTTTAACAATTATTGTCAATTTCAGATATCGCAAGAGCACAAACTTCGGCAACTGGTAAGTAACTTCATCTTTCCTGTTATTTTAAAGGAGCCTCACAATCAGGATTGCCTTCCCTTCACTTCAGCTCTATTAGAATCTTAGGCCGTTCATAAATTACTACAACAATGGACCTATTCTTTTTACAAGAATTTTCTTTTCTAGGAGAGCGATGCTTATTAGCATCAGTAAGCTTTGATTTTCTACACAAGTTTCAACAAAACTTTAAAGGGAAAGTTCAATTTTTAGGAGAAAGTTGGAGGCGCAGTTGTGTTACTCAGCTTGCTTACTATTCCTTGGGTTTACATTTGCTGCTTCCATTATAAGACTGCAAAGTGAGGATCTTGATTATGCAGTAGTATTATCCAGGAGTTTTCCGGGATGGTTCAAAAATCTCCTGGATGAAAAATTTATATTTTTCAACCACTATGTTGCAGATCTCAAATTTGTGATATGTACTGTAACTTCATCTTGCTAATTTGTTCTAATGCTACTGAAACAATAAAATATCCAAACCAACTTAAATTTCAATCGAATAAGTTGCAGATATTCAAGATTCGTTCTGGTTAATATATTACGCATAAGATTATAAGACCTCAGCAAATTCTGATTCAACTAGTTCTTTTAAAAATCCGATTTGATTAATTTGGAGAAACTAGTCAACTGAGCTGAGCTTATTTTTAGCACTAACTTCACTAACCTGATCAATATCGATCCAGTTTAACCCAAAGTGGAAAAAAATAACTTGGCCCATGACGTTTTTGCTGGGTCTTAATGCATCAATGAGGATTTCTAATCTAAGTATTAACATAGAAACAGCCAATATATCAAGCCTGGCTTTGAGTGAACAAGGAAAATAAGCCGAGTTTGAACATCTCTGAATAAATGTTTTGATAACACCTATAAAGGATTCCGAAAGGAACAGTACTTTCTGTATCTGATCTTTTCTGGAACAACACTGATAAACATTTCTCGGATTTTTGTCGGGAACAGTTAGCCTTCCTTATTTTCATTATGATAAAACTTATCATTTATTGGACTCACTTAAGGTTCTGCACTGGAATTCCTGATTTCATAACCAGAATTCTTGTTTAGGATCTTCAAATCAGTGAGCCTTTTTGCAACAAACAAACTGTGAATGAAACTAATGAGGCTGTTTCCCCTGGCATTTGACTGGCTAGGCCACAAACTTAAAGTAAGAACTAAAAATTAGTGAGGCCCACCCATCTTTCCCATTCATCTATTAATATGCAAATAAAATGTATGACATGGATGGCACGAATGGTAGTCGATGGAGGACACTTCCTGTGAGGCGGTTAAAATTTCACTAATTTACTACTAAATGTTAAACGGAATCAGTTTTTTTGGACATTGCATCGCTCATAACGATGTGATAGTATTACCGAAACATCACAGTACATCTGAAAGTTTCAAGCCAATGAAACAAACTCTACCGGTTATTGTCCGGTATAGAATTGTGAGAGAAGAGTATACAGAAAATGGATAACAATCCATCCTGTTCATTTTCAGGAAAAATTCACCTATATGGTTTAACATCCTCCAGAAATATCAATAATAAAAGCAAAGGTGGCAAGAGAGAGTGCGATACTGGTTGGAAACGGAGGAAGCAATCTTATACATGCGATGTAAATGGAGAGAGAGGAGAGGATGAGGGAGAAAGGAGAGGAAAAGGAGAGAGGGAGAAAGAGAGAGTGATGGAGAAAAGGAAAAATGCAGCAAGAATAACAGCTGTATTAACCATTCTGATTCCGAGGAATCGTCGGGGGATACAACGGAACATGGACAGCTGTCGCCTACTTTCTATCATTGGCACGAGTAACATGTGGCGCTGATTAAATTGATCCATTCCCTCGTTTTTATTGATTTGTTTATTTCATATTGTTGGTCAGAAAGTTAGGTGAGTACTGTCGTCTGTCTGTCACGTGCCGTTCACCTATTCCTTGAGTTCAATCGAAGAGTTATTGCGTGTGACTGTTGAAGTAAATAAGGAAGCTGTGAAAAGGTTTGTGCGGCACTTTAATATGACGATAAGTTTGTGGCATTTGCGACTGAACGACTTATATTTTGTGGATAGATTATTACAAGTGAAGTTGGCACTAATTATGATTTAATTCCTACAAGTTAGCACCACAAATCCAATTCAAATTCTGGTTTATTTCGTCGAATTTTACGTGTGTAATCATTTTCTGTAGCATGAAATTCCTTATCGAAATAATGTCCTTTTCCTTTTGCTCTTTCCTGATTTTAATTCTGAAATCTTAGAATTGAAAAATGATGTTGCGTAGAGTTGAATTTCCTATTTTGAATGCACATCATAATGGACGACGTTTGCTGCACTTACACTCAAAACTTGGTGCAAGAGTGCGGATGAATAATATTGAAGAAGAGTCCTTCCTACCATATGAAAAATTGAAAAGAAATATAAGTGCTGTGCGACAAAGGTCAGTTCCTCGAAAAATTATGTAAAAGTTTTGCCAGACGAAGAAGTCTGAATTCCCGGGAAATAAAAGGACGAGAGAAGTAATTTTTGACCTTCCTGACCATTTCTTAAATTTTAGACTAAAAAGACCGCTTACATTGTCCGAGAAGATATTATATGGACACTTGGATGAACCAGATAAGCAGGACATTAAACGAGGTTCTTCGTATTTGCGATTGAGGCCTGATCGAGTAGCAATGCAGGATGCCACTGCACAGGTCTTATTTGTTGATCACAAAAGTCTCTGAAATTTCCTTGCTACAAAAATATACTGCTCCATGTTCATAAATGATTCGACAAACAAAATGATATTATTATTCGGTGCACAGAAGTTAAAGTTTATCATTGCGTTTATTTTAATTTTAGATGGCCATGCTACAATTTATTTCCTCAGGACTCCCACAAGTTGCAGTACCGTCAACCATCCATTGTGACCATTTGATCCAAGCACAATTAGGAGGAAGCCCTGATTTAAAACGAGCTAATGAAATCAATAAGGAGGTCCTTTCCTTAGAATATTCTTTCTGTGGAATATGTCTTTTATGACAACTGATTGTTATCATCAGAGGCATTCATATTAGAATTACATGCTAAAGTTCATTTTTTTTCCTCCCCTCCTCCCTCCTTCATGATGATCTTCCTTCATGATGTGGAAGGGGTTAATAATAGGTTTTATTGCAGGTTTATGATTTTTTGTCCTCAGCGAGCAATAAATATGGTGTTGGTTTCTGGAAACCAGGAAGTGGCATTATTCATCAAATTATTTTAGAAAACTATGCTTTTCCTGGGCTCTTGCTGATAGGTACGGACAGTCATACGCCGATGGGAGGTATGCTTATTTTTATTTTTTTCTTTTTTTTTTGCATTTCTTCCAGGCACTGTGGACTCCAGTTTTTGTTTTTTAAATGTTTATGTTGTAGAAGTGCTGTTAAAAGATTAGTCGAAATAAGTTTTTAGTAAATTTTTTGCTTGTACTGGTCCTGTTTCTTTACATACATTATCTATGAATTCTAACTTCATCAGGAAAGCGGCCTCCAATTACCAATCAATCATTTTTTTTTTTTTTGCATAATATTTTATGCTTTTGGAAGAATAAATTGGCTTTGATCAGCAAATTATTTTGTGGTTTATTACTTTTAAAATAGATACAAAAACACATTTTTAGGTGGTTTGGGAGGTTTATGTATTGGTGTTGGAGGCGCTGATGCTGTTGATGTTATGGCAGATATTCCATGGGAGTTAAAATGTCCGCAAGTAACTTCGTTAAATTTCCTAAAATTTCGGAAATCGTGTCCTTCGTAGCTTCGTTAGTATCTGGCCGGTAACTTTCTGATGTTCTAACAGTTCCAAAAAATTAGGTTTTCAGGTGATTGGTGTCAAACTGACTGGTGAACTCTCAGGCTGGACGTCGAGTAAAGATATTATCTTGAAAGTAGCAGATATACTTACTGTAAAGGGTGGCACAGGTTGTATTGTGGAATATTTCGGTATGATTTTTGCTATTACAATATGTTCAGAGGAAAAATCAATAACTGCAGTTCTTTAGCGCACCTTTTATTAAGCTGTAATGCTTTTTGATTCAACTGAAAAGACTTTCTCACGTTTTTTAACAGATGTAAAATTTAAATGAAATCAGGAGGATGGCTTTAGGTCCTGGTGTTGATTCAATATCAGCAACCGGTATGAGTACAATATGTAATATGGGTGCAGAAATTGGTGCGACAACATCGGTATTTCCCTTCAACAACAATATGGTGCAATATTTGAAAGCGACAAAACGAGAAGCCATTGCAAATGAAGCAATACGGTATAAAGAAATCCTAACACCCGATGAAGGTTCCGAGTATAACAAGGTTAGATATGGGTCGATGGGAACATTTGTCTCATATAGCTCTTAAGGGATAATTTTTGTTGTACTTTTTGAACTTCATTAGGTGAGAACTGTAGGGAAGACGGGTTGAGAGTGAAAGTCTTATTCGTCTATATTTTAGGATCCTTTCAAATTTGGTTTGTAAATCCAACTGTTGAAGAAAGTGGATAAACATACAAACTTTTAAGAACGCATTTAATATGTTTTTTGTTTATGAAAGTTTTTGTAGAATGAAAAATGAAACAAAAATATTTTTGAACTCTAGCTTTATTGATCCTAGAGACCCAAGTTCGGATCTTTCGAAATTTCTTTTTTTTTCAAATGTAAATTTCAGCTGATTGAAATAAATCTGAGCACATTAGCACCACATGTTAATGGACCATTTACTCCGGATTTGGCACATCCAATTGATGTTCTTGGGAAAAATGCACAGGCAAATGATTGGCCATTGGAAATTAAAGTCGGTCTCATTGGTTCTTGCACGAATAGTTCTTACGAAGATATGACACGCGCTGCAAATATTGCGAAACAGGTAATCGTTCATCCGGAAAGTTAAGAACAAAATTTCTCATTACTTGTTACTTCCCAATTAGTTATTTACTTGTTTATAGGTAAAGATCCTCTCTTTTATTGAAGTATCGTATAATGTTCTTCTGAAGAATCACATTTGCGCATATTATAAAAGTTGTCTTCTATTTTTGTCTTTCACTCACGCCGTGTGTGTGAGTCTTAGAAATGAATAAAATAAAAGACATGTAACATGTTACATTCAAGTTAAAAGATGTTTACTTGTAAAAACTTTTATTTGATTGACGTTTCCAGTCGGTGATTTTTTTTGTCAGTGGTAACTGGTAGCCTTATCAGTGAAATTGAAATTGTGCAGAGTTTTTTCTCAGGCTCTTGACAAAGGACTGAAGGCGAAAGCGAAATTTACAATAACACCTGGAAGCGAACAGATTCGAGCAACTATGGAAAGAGATGGCTTGACGGAGATTTTCAAAAATTTTGGTGGCATAGTACTCGCAAATGCTTGCGGTCCTTGTATTGGTCAGTGGGATAGGAAAGATGTTAAGAAGATAAATTTTACTAATTATTTGCATTGTTTTTCTAGTTTTCCTTTGCACTTCTTTGGTAAATTTTTGTCATTCACATCAGAAAAAAAGTTGGAAATAACACATATTGTCTTTTTAATGATCAGGAAAAGTGTTACTGTAAGACTTGTTTCATGTTTTTTTTAGGGGGAAAAAAATACAATTGTAACTTCGTATAATCGCAATTTTACTGGTCGGAACGATGCAAATCCAGCAACTCATGCATTTGTTACTTCACCTGAATTGGTTACTGCCTTGACTCTAGCAGGACGGCTTGATTTCGATCCACGAACCGATGAGCTTGAAACTCCAAGCGGTATGTTATATTACTTTGCTTTTGTAGTATTTTCAAGGCCTGTATTTCACTTTTAGTTTTCAGAGCTTCCCTAGGTCAAATCACATTAGATTCGTATACACCCTTAAAATTTTTGCTGTAACATAATACTTGTGCTCAGTTGAAACTGTCGACAGAAAATTTGTTCCAAGCTGTTGTCTTCAAAGATTCTCTTAGAAGATCTTTTGAACAATGAGCTTGACTGCTGCAATTTTTTCGGTACCTACGGTACTTTTAAGTCAGCAGATGAAATGTATTTCTGAAATTTGACTTAAGCGATTGTTTTTCTTATGCAGTTGAGGAAAATATCATTTCAGGCAACAAATTCAAGTTGCAACCACCAAATGGTCATAGCCTACCACCAAAAGGTTATGATCCAGGTGTGAATTATTATCAGGCTCCATCAGGACATGGTAGTGTTATGGTCAATGAAAACAGCGAACGTTTACAACTCCTGAAACCGTTCGGTCCTTGGAATGGGCAAGATTTGGAAAATATGTTGATATTAATTAAAGTAAGTTGCACAAAGGGACAAATCCAGTTTTATTTCACTTTAAAATAAATTAACCGAGCTGCTAAAAAAGTATAGATTTTAAAGTGCAATGTTCAAGTAAATTGTCATTATTTCTATAATTTAATTTTCATTTAAGCATTTTAAACATCAGGTAAAAGGAAAGTGTACAACGGATCACATCAGTGCTGCTGGACCTTGGCTAAAATTCCGTGGTCATCTGGATAATATTTCAAATAATCTGTTCTTGACTGCTGTTAATGCGGAAAATAATGAGATGAACAAGGTAATAATAGTTGTTGAAGAAAAGCATTTGATAATCGAATTATTTTACAAAAATTTTTGTAAACCAATGACATCCGATTCCAAAACTTGATTTCTTGAATTACGGGGAACAGTTTCTAATTATAGGTTCGCAATCATTTGACGGGCAAATATGATACGGTAGCTCAAACGGCGCGTCACTACAAGTCGGAAGGAGTAGCTTGGGTAGCAGTAGGTGACGAAAACTATGGTGAAGGTTCATCACGTGAACATGCAGCTTTGGAACCTCGGCATCTTGGTGGATATGCGATTATCGTAAAAAGTTTTGCTCGGATTCACGGTAATTATTTTACTTCAGTTCACTGGCAAGTTTAATGTGGTAAAGGAAGTGTTCAGCTGATTTCGCCTTTGCTTCATCACAAACGGAAAGTTTTTCAAAAACCTTTTATTCCATCACAAATAAATAATTTTTTGGAACCTTACCGACCACCATTGATGTAATCAGCTACATATAACACTTCGGAATATTTGATGATTGCTTCAAACTTCATTTTTCAAATTTCACTGTTTCGTTATTTAATTCGATGGGTCGAATATAGGGGAGGAGATATTAGATGAATGGATCCGTATGAAGTTGAAGTTGAATCTGGTCGAGTATTTTCAGTTGTTTTCGGAATTTTTTTTTTCAGAAACAAATTTGAAAAAGCAAGGCATGCTTCCCCTGACATTTACTGATCCAAATGATTACGATAAAGTTAAGCCGGACGACAAGATGTCGATTGTTGGTTTGAAAGATTTTGCACCTGGCAAGGTTATTTTTTTTATCTGGAATAAAGTCATCCTACATTTTTACGTTCATCACTTTTTTTTCACCTTTAAGGTGTTAATTCATTATTAAGGCGTGAGATTACATCTGCATAATGCCTCTCTTTACACGACTTGCCGTCATTTAAAAAAAAAAAGGTACTGTACATTCCTGATGGTCCCTTAGAAATTTAGAATCTTGAACGTTTTGGTTTTTTAGCCATTAAAGTGCATCGTGAAACATGCTGATGGCAAAGAAGAGGAGATCTGGCTATCTCACAGTTTCAACGCCTCTCAAATCGAATGGTTTAAGGCTGGCTCAGCACTGAATCACATGAAAGCAATGAAGAAAGAATGAAAGATGATATTTGAAACTGAAGATTTTGTGTGAACTTGCTCGCTTCATTTTGTAATTCTTCTAGAGATAAGACGAGCAGATACTCCGGACAGTTTAATGCTTTAATGCTTTGGTCGTATTGTTAGCGACTGCACTGAATTTTAGCAACTGATTAAATTATCACGGCCACATTTCAATCTGGCTTTTGTTCTACTTTCATTCCCGTAATGACCTACCGTTATACTTTAGCATTTGTCAAAATAATGACTTAATTATATCCAAATTGGTTTATTACTAACGCTTATGGTAGATGGGAATCTGCTTTCGGTAATATCTTTTTGATATTCATTATTGCAGGAGTTTTGAAGGGTTAGCTGGATAAATCAGGAGAAAAGACTTGTCGGTATAATCTGGGATTTAAGATTAAGTCATTGTTTTAGGTGTAGAAATAAGATGTGTCGCTAATTACATAATGTATATCGTAGAGCAACTACGACTGTTGTAATTTTTGTGATACGTTGTCCAAGCCGGTATTTGACAAGTTCTTTATACTTTTAATTTCGGTAATTTTGATATCTGGTTGCTTTCCTAATTTAGTTTTCGTTTGTGACAACTTTACTGTTCACGATACCTCATGTAATTTAATGACAGTCGCACTAATACAGAGATTTCAAGGCAGTCCAAGAGAAATACCACTCACTTTAAGAGCAGGGTGTTGTGAATTTCTAAAAACTCATTTTCTTGTGGCCAGTAATATAATATTCGAAATTAAGTTTCTGAAACAGATTCCTGCTGGAAAGGAAAAGCTCGAAGCAGTTGCATGCAGTTATTGTTCCTATTTCAAAACAATAAAGTAGGGATTGGTTTATATGACATTTGAAACATTTAGATCTGTGTCTAAGATTATGGTGAGGGATTTCGTTTATTATACAATGATATACAGACAGCAAGTGAATCGCAACAAATGTATATTGCTCGTTAGGCAGATGGCATTTAAATATTTAAGCTGGGAACTGACGGTTAGGCATGTTCAGAAATAGGACTTAAATTCCAACTTCTTAAGTACTGTCAGGAAATGGGTGCAACTGGCTACATTTTCTGACTGCACACTAGAATTTTTCACAAAGGCCTCAGCATTGTGGATAGTGACCTGCAGAATCCGAAGTTTCTCAAAAATAAAATTTTAGATTTACATTACTAATAGGGAAAAGATCCCGAAGTTACCCAAGTTAGTAAACACTTTAGTGTTAACTACACTTTGGAAAAGTACACTTTAGTGTTTAAATATCACATCAAGAAAATATCATTCCAACCATATCTTCATCTATCGGGATGGAGACTGTAGTTTCCTTGTTTTTCGCGAGCTCAATCGAGTTTACATGACTGAAGAAACAGACGAATTGGGACTTGGTTACAATTTCATATAGTCCCACTGATTTGCGAGTTTTAGCCAGTTCCTCAAAAAAACTTGATTCCGAACTAATTCACAGGGATTGTAAAGGCCATTGCATAATTGATTTATCACAGATTTAAAAGAAAGAGATAGCCATGAACGGAGGACCACACTGACATAAATAACCAGCTAATAAAAAAACCACGCATGACTAAACATGCGCACTATTTTACAAAATGACATTTCCGTTAAGTCTCCTATTTTTCTCCGCTTTTTTCGGAGAAAAATGTACGAAATCGATATCCACATCTTGAAAGGAAGAAATGGAGAACATGAATGAGGAGAGGAGGAAGAAGATATTGCTGGATTAGCATAAATGTCGATATAAACACTTGAAACTAAAGATCTAAAACTGAAGGGTTAATCATGCTTCAACATACTGATAAAATAATTTCCTCATAAAAACGGGTGTTTCATTTTTTTAAACAGATATTGGGAGAATTTTGAGGATCGTTAAATTTTTTAGCTAATTTTAAGGCATATAGCCTTACTGCAAACTCGTTTTTTCGAGAAACTGACTAGGACTCCGAGAATGGGAAGATGTAGATTTAATGTTCTCATTAAAATTCTAGTTGTAATTTCATCATTGTAATTTGAACAAACTTCTCAGCTGATTTTTGCTTTCAGTTTGTTAGTTTCCCATTTATCTAAATTGCAGTAAGTGACAGCTTGGACTTCCAGCTCTATGGGAAAGGAATGATTTTTTAAAGTTATGAAACATCATTTTTATTAGAAAGGATGACTGTATTCGGCGATCGTTTCAAAGAATTTCCGACGCTCGCTGACTGGAATAACCATTGAACGTCGTAACTCACTGGCTGGATAATTGGTTGTCATCATCTCACTCACTGGTATCGCTGGGTTGCTGTGGAATCGAACGTCTGAAATTTTATGATATTTATAGTAAGAATCAGCAAATTCAGAATACTTTCGTTAAAGAATAATGTGTTGTAACCTGTTACTGGTTGTTAAGATGGTGGAGAAAATGTACGTATGGATTCTGCGTAGAAACAGAATCAGAAAAAGAGTACCGAGCGTTTACTGGCAAACTAAACAACACATTAGAGACAACAAGGAAGGCCTTTGCTGATGAGAGACAAAATGTGTATTACGAATTCAAGTTATATTGACTTTCGTAGTTTTCCTAATGTGAATTCTAAGTTTCATTCGAATACTAATTTAATTACCAACCACTACGTCTTGAAGTCATTTTTGGTATCACTTGTCGATTTCTTCGAAATTTGACCCCTTGACCGGATGGCAGACGCCAAATCGATGAAACAACAGCTGTTGGTTGTGCTGCTATGTTGTTGTTGAATGATGGAAAGCTGAGAGCTATCTGTTGTTGTTGTTGGAGAGTTGGGGAATGAATTTGAGCCGCTTGGGGTGTCACCGATTCCTCTACCAATAGCGATACGTCGTCTGCGCGTCCCTCTGCAACGGGGAAATGTAAATATGATACTGTCGAAAAATATATTTCGAAGATTTTGACATAAAAATTACAGCACTAGTTTTATCTTTATAACTTATAGTAATGGATAATGATGCTACAAGCAATGAGCCATTTGATATGAATCTCATCAATGCTATCCTTTCTGCTGTCAAAGTGGTAACAAAATCTACTGAATTTTTAAAACAAAATCATTTCACAGATAAAGATAGTGCTGAAATGAAGGCACAAAGCAAGTAGGCAGGAAAAGAAGGCTGACAGGAAAGACTGACCATTGCTAGTAAAGCTCAGGCAACATGCTTTACTCAGACAATCTGGAAATAACAAGCATGCATCAGACGTCGGGGAACATTAACTGTTTTATTGTCTACGATCACCATGAAGAGAGAAATTGGAAAATTTTCGAAAGTAAGGAAGGATTCTAGAAATTTCATGAAATGTGAATAAGCTCTGGAGGATTTCATACTAAATTAATGGTGATCTTAAACTTGGCACGAAGAAAATCAAATCAGCCCAAAACACTAAGCCAATTTCAAACTTTTTACGCACATGAAAGCTTACCGATTCTGTCGTTTTGGTAGTTCTGCAAACAGCTTAAATTTTTGAATGAGATTTTTCGAAAACTGATAATTTTCAAAAAAAAGAATGAGTTTGAGAAAATGCATCAACACGCATAAAATTACCAAGAAGCAAAGGATGACAATGATGCCAAAAGGCCCTTGCGTTTATAGCGAAAAAAGCCTTGAAAAGTGCGTAAGTAAATTAGTATAAGTGATTTATAGTAACCGACTGATGGATCTCATCTGCATTATCAATAGAAGAAAACATGATCCTATGAGTAAAAGAACATGATGAGCTTTGTCAGATGGTGACACTACAATAAATCCCTAGATGATCCTGAATTCAATCCGATCACGGAGTATTAAATTCAAATAAAACAATCGAAAAATGTAGATATGAGCATACCATATTTGGCAGAAAGTTCTTCACCGGTCAAATTAACAGCTCGGCGCTCGAAAAATGCTACCGTCTGTCTCAGCTCTTCAATTATCGTGTCTTTTTGGCGTAATTCACGATGCAAGCGTCGATTTTGGGTTTCTACATCACTATAAGTAAAAACGTTCCCTAAGATACATAAAAATTTATACTCGGGACCTTCTGTTGTCAAGTCCAAACATCAAAACAAATATAATTCCGTGATTTCGCTTTAAATGCCATAAATAATCAGAAAGTTTTACTGGAAAATAAGAGACAAAGCAAAAAAAAAAAAAAGGAAAAAAGGAACACAATGTCTGATACTTCAACGATGACTGATTTTCTTTGTCGGCTAGCAATAAAGACATCTTCTCATCAAGCTGAGAATTCTCGAGACATTTTGCCGAATACAACGCCGACAACTGAGCCAATTCAGTACTCATCTGCTCCAATATTTTACTGTAATAACACAGAAAAAAGAAACAACCAGATGCATTAGTAGTAAAGTAATTGAATAGTCTTAATAAAAAGTAAGGGAGTGCTCACCTCTGCCTTGCAGACTGTACGTCGGTTCTTGATTCGGCAGAGATGTTTGTTTGGGCCGAGGTTATACTGTTACCACCAATACTGCGAACTTTTTCATTAATATTTCTTAATTCAGCGTCATGCGCTCGTTGCACTGCATCTAGAGCCATCCTGCAAATTAATAAAGACGGTAACTTCATTGCATAAAGAGTAAAGCGAAAACTATATTAGAGATCGTCAAGAAGAAAGGAGATAGGGAACTGAAGAATGAAACCTCAGAAAAGAGGCAGGTCAGACTGAACTTTTAAAAGACATCACCAATGTTAGCATTTTATATAAATTGTGACTATCTTTTCCTAGTAACTTTCTGAGAAAGACCTTAAGTATCTTGAAGACGTCAACTAATTCCAACGTGAAAAAGTCAAAAGAAACCTGGTGGCTTTCTTTTCTTCCTGCAGTTCTGCTGCATGTTCTTCATGCAGCGCAGTAATTTGCTCCTCGTATTGCCTTCTTTGTTCTGCCAGCACTTCCTCATGAGTTTTCTTCATTGCGGATAACGAATGATCATTTAAAGACTGTAAATTTTTTTTCGAAAGTATTACGATCAAATTCTTCCCAACTCCAATTTATACTTTCTCTCTTTCATTTTTCCCCCTCTTTCCCTTTTATCCTTTTCATTTCTTCACCTTGTTTTTTCTTTTTAATTTTTGAATTCACTGTTTTCAAATAAGTTCTAAACGGCTTACATTCACTGTCTGCAACTCCTCTTGCGCTTTCTTCCGTCGATGTTCTTCATGCTGCAGGCGTTCTCGAAGTAATTTTAATTGGTACTCATACTTGGATTGCATAGATTCCATTTCTTCGGTATGGGAAGCCTGAAACTCAAAAATAAGTAGGGAAGAAATTAACGAGAGATTATGAAGTATTCATAGTACGGTAATATTTGTGAAGCAAAAACATGCAACCTAATTAAAGTTTCAGGGTAGCATTATTCATTTCCTTTTAATTAAAAAAAGCACAAATTACAAGCAAACAAGAATGTTTATGTACCTGAAGTTCCTCCAGCTCATTTTCCAAATCCTGCACTTCATCGGCAATTTGTTCTGACGACGGATTTTTCTGAAAATTAGACTTTGCTGCCATAGGACCCAGAAATATCCATAAAGCGTTTAAACTTTAATTGGAGAGCAATGGAAGAATTAATAATTTTACCGGATGTGCTTCCTTCTGTTGTGCCTCGCGTTGTGTCCTTAACAGCACTGTATTGACCTAAAAATTGAAAGATTTCAATTTTTGACGGGAATGTGTTGATCGTGATATTAACATTGAATATTAAAGAATTTTAAACTTATTAAACAATTTTAAACAACTGCTAAGTGATAATGAATTGAAACATATTTCATCCGAAATTCCGGAAAACTAAAAATATCTTCAGTATATCCTCAGATATTTAGAAATAATTCTAATTGATTTATTTTTTTGCTCGCATATGTTACGAAACTTTACATATCACTCCCTACAAGGCTCGAAAATTTAGTAATTAATCGGAAGGTTATTTTTGAATACTGCCTACCTTTTGTAGTTAAAATATCGACTACCATATTTTGTTTCCGATAAAAATGGTAGCTTTCGAATAACACTTCAAAATTTTAAACCTGTTCATAAGCTTCAGAAACATTATTCAATGTTTCTTCGATCAGATCTATTTTACGATCCATTTGAGTAACTTCATCTAACCCAGCTACTCTTCGAATTAGTTGATCAACACATTGTCGTAATTCAGCGTATTCAATGCTGCCCGTTTGGGAATGTACAAAACGTGACAAAGCACCGACTTGAACTTTGAGAAGATTTGTAAATTGTTCAGTGATTTGTTTGTACCTGGAAATTACAGTCTAACAAAATATAGCAATCTGATATTACTATGTCCAACATTAAGATGAACATGCACATATTGACATTAGCATGCTCTCTAGTCAGAGAAATCACTTTTTGGAACTTTTCTTTTCTGATTAAACAGTATTTGAGATTGCAATAGTACCAATTCCAGGTAACTTACTAATCCTTCTCAAGTGAAAACTTGACAATCTACTGGGACAAAAGAAATGTTGCTGTTTGTTAAATCTTTACCTAATTTCACATTGTTGATCAGTTTCTCGAGTCGGTGTGGCAAGCTGTTTCCGCAGCGCTTCCATCTCTTCACGTTTTCGGATTACGTCTTCTTCAGCAGCCGTAAGGCTACGTCGTAACTGCGAAAGACCTTGTGTCTTCAAGAGAAAAGAGAATATTTTAAGGATTCAGAAAATGTGAAATTTCCTTTCGAATGTTTGAAGATGGAAGTCTTAACAACGTGGTTTGCCCAAATACTCGAGTACTGGCATGAAACTCCTGGAAGACGTTCAGAAATCCGAAACTTACATCGCTACTCAGAAAAAGGCATCTTAGACGTTCGTTTTCGCTTCTTGTTTCTCCAAGTCTTGAAGTCGTATCCTGTAGTTGATCACGGAGATTTTCTACCTGATTATATATTCCAATTTAGTTTGTTGAGTTGTATAATCAAAACATTATGTCTACTTTACGGATGTTAGGATAACAACAAAGATTATCTTTTGTTTAGACGTAGAAGCTGTAAAATGCAACTAAGACAACGATGATGCAGCTATTCAGTTGATTCAATTGAGAATCAATTAATTTCATTTTAGAAATGAAAATAGCTAAGCAAATCAAGTGGATCAAATTTTTAAGCAATACAAATCTCCAACTGAAAGATCTTTAACAAACAGAAAGATAACGTTATCATTCGATCATACATGTATTTGGACTAGAAATGATTGGATTGTATCGAAATGTACTAAGATTTTTTAAGAAGATTGGTGACAAGAAAGAAGGTAGAGTCGCATGTAAGTCGACAAGATAAGTAATGATATCAATTGGCAAATGATGCAAAGAAATAAAGATCTTAGAACTGTTACACATTTTCAGGAATTCGACTATGACCCTGTTTGGGGAGACGATTCGCGGTTTTACCGGGAGTGGTGTTATAGTGAATGTCCGAGCACTTTATCGTCTCGTTTTATATGATAGAATAACATTTAGAACGCAATTTTCGAGGTGGGACATTTTTTTCACTTCTGCACTTGCATTTGTAGCTGATTGCTGCCAAAATTTCAAAAAAAAAAAATCACTGCTGATGTTCGTACTAATGAATTCAATTTTGTTTTACTCATTTGGAAAAGAATGACGAAAAATTAAGGACAATTGAAGACGAACTTCGCTGGCACTAAAGGGTTGCGTGCTTCAGTACTTCTGTATTCTCAAATTTATGTTGGTGTAATATCATTTTTTTTTAACACTTAATTACTAGTTGTGTTATCGTAAGTAGAAATGTTCACCGTCTAATGTTACCCCTCAAAATCGGAAAACCGAATTTCAGGGCTATTTAATCTATCAAATATTGGTAGAAGAACTGAACTACGTTATTTAAATTCGATACAAAATTAAAAACATTGATGCACTTTTGCAGTTAAATCTTTTGCAGAAAACATGTCGGTAGGATTTTCCAGCAATGAAATGATAAATCAAATCAGTGGGATTCATTTGAATATAGATATGAGGATGACAGTGATAATTTAACTTAAAATAATCTTTAGTATAAGTCAAGCCTTTGGATTTTCGATTATTTCAATCAAATTAAGCAGATGACTTAACATTAAGGTTTAAAATTCCTGTTAGTGATCAAATATGCAAGATGATAAGTCAGTCGTCACCTGTGACTCGAGTGTACGTAGTCTCATCTCCTGCAACGATGCACTCTGCTCTCGTGGCAACGACTTCTAAAATTAAAATGCATCAAATAATAAAACCCTCGGATACTTATTAATAACTTCAAACTCGTATAAACAGCAAAATATTTAGCCAGAAATAAAAGGAATTCATTATGACATGAGGCACCTCATTGCTGTCATTTAAAACAGTTGTTGGTAGGTACCCCAAGGATAACACAGAGTTAGGATATTTATTTCTTGCATCATGCTGTTTGAAATCTCGTAATCTAGTAAAATTTCTGATAATTTCAGTAACCTGATAACGCTCTCGTAATCTGCTCAGTAATTAATACTACTCCCTAAATTTTCAGAACTCCACTGTTAGAACAGATTACTACACATTAGCATAAATATGAAATCATATGGTCTTAGGGTTACTTGAGATTACTCTATCTGTTATTTTATATAGTTGATTCGAAGTGGTCATCAAGTGAAATGACATCTGAAGGAGGGATTTGTTCTTATTTTCCATCTCTCACAACTACTCGACTTATTCCCTTTATAACAAAGCAAAAGAAAACTGAAGTGGTTGAGGAGAGTTCAGAGACAAGAGGAGACTCCACTGCAAGTTTGTCAAATGCTTCTTTTAAATTCGATATTTGAAAATGCAGTTCCAGAAAATACCTTGAAATTTTCAAAAAGAAACATTGAAAATCCTTGAAGTCGTAAGCGATCAGTTATCGTACAATCGTATAAAAAGCCTAATGTTGCTATATTAACTGCTGATTTGTATGTAGGTGACATGGAGTGAAAGCTCAAAAAGTCATGATAAGGTATGGTAGGGATGAAGATGAAAAGTCGTTTCGAAGAACAATTAGTGATCACAAAAGTTTCATCTCTCAGTGATGCTATCAGTCAGAAGCGATGATGATGATATATATATGTATATCAATGAGCTGATAAACATATCCCATCCCTTCACAAATACGAGAAACTTGTTTTAACAGCAGCAACAAGAGAAAGAAAAAGATGCAATATAAAATTAAGAATAAAATATACATAACATAAAGTTCGTCAACGAGCTGAGACGATATCTTTTCTTCACTTCATGTCTTACGTCTATTTCTTGTTCAAATAAATGAAAGTCAAAAGGCAATACCGAAATTCGGTAAGAATACCTCAAATGACAGTTTCGAGGCACAGTAAGGTTATATATTTGTTCGGGAGATATTAATATATTGAGATAGTTAAAGCCAAATGGCGTAATCTATCTACAACTTGACCTTCCGACAGAGCTCAATTGAATGACCATGTAAGTATATCTGCGAAAACTTCGATCTAATTCAATGTTTTCTTGCCCTGGAAATTTCAAAAAAGTCAGGATTTCATGAATGCCATATGTCATCGCTCTGCGTTGCACACAGAATGAATTGGTAAACATAAAGATGCGAGTCTAACTGGGTTATCTCACTAACATCAATAGAAAGTTTATTTTTAAGTTATGTAAACTTAGTGAATGAAAGGAGTAGAAGATATTGAAAAGGAGGAAGTAAAAAGGACAAATAGTGGCAGAAGTGGTGGTACAGAAATCATTACTGCTAACAATAATTAAATCAAATATTACAAACAAAAAGTCATATGTCATCTAATTTAAATCTTTAGAATAAAACTGTCTGTAACATTTTTAGTGAGATAAACGCCTATATCACCGGTTATGAATCCATCCTGCATAAATGTTTGTGAACTAAAATCTAAGAGGACATTTTTCTTGCAGAAATATAGTGGGATTGCTAAAGATAATTTATATTTACCGAAGAGCTACATCGCTGCGACTGTATAACTGGAGGTATAACAGATGAAAGCGATGAACTGGAACCATTCCTGCAAAATAAAATTTAATAATTTAACTCTTTAAAAATGCATTTTATAGAAAATTCGAATGCTAACAACTTATCGCACTATTAGATCACTAATGTCTCCAGCTTTCTTCGATATTTTTATACACATAATACACACAGATATGTTAAAGATTAAAAAAGTAAAACGAAAATGTCTTTCATTAACTTGCAACTTCAATGAAAATTTTAAAAAACAAACAATTCTGATAAATACAGACCAAAATATTTAGAAATTAAAAATTTAAGATTGTATTTTCTACATGATTTATTTCACTCTGTGATAACATTACCCTAATTTACATATCCATTTTCCTCCCATCAAGTTGTAAATATTGATAAAATTTTGCTTGCTTCTATGTTAAAGCTCTCGTAATTGGTTATAAAGCGAAATTTCTACTTTTAAAAATGATTTAAAAATTAAATTTTCTCGTAATTAAATAAAAATGACATTAAGAAATCGAAGGGTTACATTAATATTAATTTGCAAGGAAATAATTAATTTTAGACTAAGAATTTTCCTATATCCAAATAATAGACATTTATTATCAGTGAGTTACAACTTCAAAGACTTTTCCATTGATCAGTTTAAGTAATGGAGAAAATGTATATATAAAAATATTTGGATACCACCTCATCGTTCCATTTTGTCGATTGGTTGATTTATCTTTGATACGTGACACTGGTGAACGACGAAAAGTTGGTGATAAACTTTGATCGCAACCACTACGACGTCGTTGAGGAGAACGCCGCCGGTCACCGTCTACACCGTTATCGTCATCCGACGATTCAAACGATCTGCAAAATAAATATGCAACAAAATGTGGAAGGTAAATAAGGTAGTAATTTGAATCGCAGTGAATTTACAAGAAATTTGTGGGAATTAGCAATATACAACAATAACATACATAAATATCAACATATATATTACTGACTAATTGATTCGACTGGGACTAAAATCAGAGCATAAACCATAGAACAAAACATAAAAAGAGACCTTTCGGAGAGACTCGCTTGCTGATTTCTAGATGGTCGATCCAGAGAATTCAATTCATCTTCAGTGCAAGATTCGTCATCCATCATTGAATTCGAATGATGAGATTCAGGTGCCACATAAGCAATACGTTTTTTGCGCTGAAAAAAAACAGATAAGCAAGAATTAGACGAATAAGGTTATAGTGAATAAGCTGTGGGCAGATAAATGGATTTGAATGCGAAAGAATTATGAAACAGGGATTAATTAGCATGGGATTTGAATGCGAAATTATGAAACAGGAACTGATTAGCATGTTCGTCTTTCTGAAATTGTGAACGGATGGTCGTTCAATACTTACTGGTAATAAAGAGACCAAATCACTATCCGGTAAACTTGCAGCATCACTTGGACATGTTTCAGCATAGGTAGGAGAAGGATTGTGCAAATTTTGCTGCAAAGCTGTAATCCAACTATCCCTAATTCCGGGCGTCATTGCCGAAAGTACATAGCGAGTTCGCCGACACTAAAATTTTCCAGCTTGTAGAATTTTTTAGAGGAAACTTTTATATCATTAAATAACTGATCATCGGACTCTTGAAATCATCTGGAAATTGGGAAATCTGGAAAAATGAAATAATTTCCGATAAATAATGGTTACTGTTAAGTTCATAAGATTTTAAAAAAAAAGGAACTAGCTTTGATTTCAATGCCATAATTCTTAGCAGAAGCTGATGGATAAACATTTTCACATTCATTGAGATCGATGGAAAGCAGCGGCTCAGCAGAATCTTCAGCCCAGACATCTCTGAAGACCAAAAAACATATAAGGTGACAAAAAGGAACATGCTGAAATATCATTTACCGAGTACTATCACTCCGTGACATATTTTCTCTTGGAAAACATAATCCCTGACAACATAATTCGTAAAATTTCAAAACTGTACTTACAAAAAAATCTAAAATTAACATACTTATACAGTTTCAGTGAAAGCCCAGCTAGTACCACCCAATGTTTTGTCCAGTCAGAAGCGCCTTTACCTCGTAGCATCAACCAGCCTTTCCTAAGCGTATGTGCACTGGATGTATCAATAGAAAATGGCTGAAAATTTGAGGCTTATTCAAACTGCATTTGAATTTCTGCTAAACATCAATCCTTATATCGTCATATATTGTAGTATTACAATATTAGATTATAAACAACAATGACAAGCTAACTGACGTTCTGAGAGGACTCAATTATGCTGTTAAGTTGTACTGGGAGAAAGCCCATCAGGAATAGGATGAGTACCAACGTGAAGGTTTTTAGGAACGAAATGAGTGGCTGGCTGTTCTTATTTTTAGGCTATCTGTATTCACATACAAAGACTTACAGGGGAATTGTGGTAAACAGCTTATAAAATAGAGAACTTACAGTAGAAAATGGTGTCTTTCGAGAGGATAATGGAGGACATGGTGATTCAGGAAGTGGTGGTGGCGTTTCTGGAGGTGTTGTTGCAATACCCGTAATTCCATCATTTGTCGATTTCCGTGATGGCTCCTCCCTAAAATAAAGGAGAATCACATATACTTTCCATAAAAAAAGTTTGTTTATCCATCTTGCAAAAAGTTTTTGTCGCCATATCCGTCAAATTTCATTGAAGTCTTGACACTTTCCCTGTTAAATGTAGTAGAAAGATTTTGCATCGAAAGTGTAAAGAAGCTGTCCTGGTCCTAATTTAAGAATTTTGGGGAATAAAGTACTAGTGGAGAAAGTATGACAGAGCAACAATGAGGAAATATTTCATCTGTTTCTTGACGAAAAGACAAATCCCCACATCTACAGATAAATCAAAATGAAAAATTCTAATTTCTTTTTCCTAATAAGGGTAACGAGAACAAACTTTCAGTTCATGTGTCATGTGAACGAACAGTACCATGAGTAAGGAGAAAGGGTAGTGGTTCATAATAACGAAATGATAATCACTGTGGAACTGTAACAAATGGCAACAGCTATAATCATGGCATCACACACTCTTCATCATTACAATCATAGTGACAATGCTACTATCAATAACTTCTGGTAATGGTGGGGGAATTATGACTGTAACCGCGAAAACCACAACCGTGGATTATTTAAAAACTGCATGATTGAAATTGGCTGAATCTCAACTGCTGTAAAAATTTTATTATCGGTTGACTGAAAATTTGGAATATGTAATCATAAAAAGTTGAAAAAAAATTGAGAATTTTCTGGGACGAATAAATTCAAATGACGTAAAGCGTTGTGAGAAAAATCCATGTAAATTTAAAATGGGTTTTGCTGAGAAATTTAGGTCACTTTACGACTCATCAGCGGTGTAATAATGGAAATGTTTGTTTTTTATTCCAATAAAATATACCATCATTTGGTTATAATTCAGATCTAGAACACAAAGTTTGAAATAATTTTTTTTAACATTATATTCGATTATAAGACCAATCAACCACTATATTATTGAATTACATTTTGATTCACTATTTTCAGCCTTGCTCACGAGATTTAGGACTTGATTTTAATAACTTGTTACTAGGGACTTACTTATTAACTTTATTTCGATATTTTACAGCTCGTGGTGTGCCGTGATGTGCATCAATAGAGCTCGGACGAGTGCCTAAATCTACCCGTGTTACCATATTTGACAACGGATCTAGTTGTGATGTTGGTAGCTGTTGCACCTCGTGATTTGATCGTGTTGATGAAGCACTTGCTGGACGAGAAAGTGAATCGTTTACCTGAAATCGAAATTATATGAATCTGAATCGTAATACAAGAAGTCAGTCGACCTGATATCAGCGAACGTCCATTCCTTCAGGCCACATTTTAAGAGAAAAGAATGCAAGGTTCAGTAAGTTCATTAGGTTGGAAGAGATATTTTTTCTGCTATACAAATAGTTTGGGATAAAAATTGCACAGGAATAAAAATTAAAATAAATATGGGCAAAAGAATGGAATATCTTTCGAAAAAGTTTTGAAATTTAGAAGGAAAAATAAAATTCAAAATATTTATCATTTAATCGATGGAAAAGAAGCAAATAAATATGCACAATTCAGTGTATTTCCGTTTCTTCTTCAACCGTGACATATCAGTGCAATATTGCTATTGCTAGGTTGGAAACGAAACAGTGCTACTACTACCGAGTCTAGTGCTCTTCTTATCAATTTTAGCGAAAGATTTTATAATGATCATTTCGGATCGCACTTTATAGTCATGCTGTTCGCAAGGGTTCAGTGATAGGAAATATTTTATGGCGTAATGTAAATTATAATTAGTCTTGTTAAGTTGATTCCGAGTAGATATGAGTTTTGTAATCAAACAACTTTTCTGACAGCATCTAAAAAAGAAAAAATTGAAGGGATGGTTAAGATAATTAATTAGCAAGTACAACATTAACTTGAGTAGATAGAAACTGAATTAAAGCTTGAAGTTGAAATTTTATTTTTTCTTGGCATTTAACATGTTGCAGCCAAAAAACTGTAATCCGATCCTTTTTTTTCTTCAAAATTTCAGTATCAAATTAGTGCATATGCAGGAACTCTGGAAGAGTTATTTGAATTGTACTGCTTTGATTCCTAGAAATATCTCTAGACTTTTGTAACAATTAGAAGTTCAGAAGGAAAAGTAAACGGAAAATAGAATGATTCAAAATAGATATTTGGATAATCAAACATTCCTAAAGGTAATAATGAACTGGAAAAAAAAACAGTATGAGAGGGGAGGAAATACTCTCAGTGATAATTTCTCAGGAGAAAAGCTCCAGAAAAAACCGGTATGTATGGAATCTGTTTAAAATTGTGAAAAGAAGGAACAGAAGAGTACAGAGGGAAACGGAAAGATGAGAAAGGTCAGAGGTTAGGGAGACGGGATTTTCGAAGATATTTCGCGTTTATTTTGATAAATTTTTATTGATGAAACTTTTGAACAAGTTGTTTTCGACGAAAATTAAACACTAATGGAAGATAAGCATTAAGGAATCAATGATATGCTTGACAATGAAGTTTTTAAATATGATGACATTGAAATGAACGTTCAAATACCACTTGCTAGCTGCTGATGTTCCTTCAGTACTAGCTAACCTGGATAATTGTTGGCCCACAAGTTTCCAACATTTCTTTCTTATCAACAGTTTCGTCCAATATCCGTTCCTGTTCATCATCGAGCATACGTGCTGGTGTCGCAGTCATACGATAAATACTACGTTTAGCGTATTTCTGGAGTAAGCTTTGCCACCTGGAAGATTTAAAATTACCGTGGTGCTGAAGCGACAGCTAACAAAATTATTGTGCTAAAATCATGCAAGGAAAGAGTAACCATCGTATTTCTTCAGTTGTATCAGCTTTCATGTAGCAAATTGGCACATGCTGATTGATAGTTGTGGCATCCTTTTCCATATCTCTACAAATACCAGCAATACTGGAATTCGAAGTATCATTCCGGAATGCTACTAGGATACTATGCGAATGACCCGTTATTACATCTGCTTCACAAACCCGTACACATAGATTCATGTCCATTTTAACTTGTGGGAGTGTTTCTGGCTAAAAAATGAATCTGAATGGTCACTTAAAAAAAACAAACAAGTGAGCTAAACTAAGTGATTAAGAAGGAAGAGATGAAGATGTAGGTAGGAATAAGCAGGCAAACAGATAAACAAATGAGTTAATATGAATAAATTTCGAAAATTGAAAACAATTGTGCCAGAAAAGAGAAATGAAATTTCTGGAATCAAAAATATTTGAAGACATTCAAAAAAGCTAACATTATCATCCAGAGCATAACTTAGTTCGCCATCTTCATATAATGTGAAACATCGTCGTTGCCATCTCTACAAATTAAAATTTTGTTTTAAAGAAATGTAACTGAGGATTTGATTATTGTTATTTTTCAGTATGAGAAGAAGTGGAAAGCTATATTACAATGAATCGATTTGTTTAACTTGAATCGAGAAAAAATAGAGGAAAAGTGAACCTTAGCTGAATGTGACGGTTGAGAGAAGTCGATGTTAGGTGGTGCAACATATAAAAAACCATAAGCTGTCACCTTACGATCCATTGCCAACAACTATAATTACTTGCATCTTAACTAGAATTCAATTACATATTTCAAGTAGATAAACGAACGAATATGTGAGAATTATAGAGAGATTTGCTAGATGCGAAATGAATTTTGTGGTCGAATAAGAGGTGAAAATATGGAAGCGAAATCTATCACATTAATTCCGAATTAAGGGGGGTGGAGGAAGAGATTTAGATATGGCAAGCCCAATTACAATGAAAAATTCAGTTAAACTCTCTAAGTAGCAAAGGTATCAAGAAATTCAATACAACTCTTTCAGTAGCACAACCTGATTCTGTAACCAGGTTGTGACATTAACCGAAGAATATAATGCAGGGAGAAACTGAAGAATCCTGATCATCCTGGGAGGATCTAAATAAGATTTCTAGTACAACAGAAGTATCTTTTCACACATAAAATGAGCTCGAAGTTTTAACGTGAGCTTCAATCGCAGATTTAGGAAAATTTCTTCAAAAATTGGAAGAGAAGAAAAATGTGAGCAAAAGGACAATGTTATGTAGCATTAGCAGATAGTTTCATCGTGAAAATACAATTCTTACATCTTACAACATTGAAAAAAGAGAAAAGGCCGTTCGTTAGATAGAATAAACTGTGAAAGCAATGTCTTACCCAATATTCGGACATTTTAAAAGATCACTTTGATTGCTACTTCTAACTTACCAATCGTAATTAAATTCTATTTAAAGAGATTTCAACAGTTTTTGTCAGGATACTAGTTCAAAGTTTACTCAGCAAATATGATGACCACGGATTAGTAAATAAGTGGGAACAATCGTTTGAGGGTGAAATGAAGAGCAATAGATGTCACTTCTGTTGGATCTACCTAGCGCAAAATTTAAACACTAGAAGTTATGTTACATTTCAGAATCAAAAGATCAATTGTTCACTAAATTTCCAATGAAATATTTCCAAAATGAAATGGTTTAGAATCAAAAATTTTAAACACAGAAAAATACATATTATCTAAATCTTTTATGATTGAATTTCCGCTTTCAAATAAGCCATTTACTGCTTATCTTTCCGGTTTTCTAGAAAAACTGAAGAGGAAGTAAATCGACAGCAAAAACTTGGGTTTTAAGTGAACAGCGTGAAATAGACGGTATAAAAAAGGCTTTTGTATATCAATCTAAATTGCGGACAGATGTAAAATAGATTTGACCATATTAGAACCGACGTTTCGTTCTGTCAAAACCAGATTTACGTCACATTTGCATCTCGTACAATCATAGGGTAGAACAGGTGATAGGATGAATAAGAGGGAAAAGTGTCACTTTTACATCTTTAACCTCTTTGTTTTCAACAAGCGTGATAACTCCCTGAAGAGAGTGTCGTTGAAAAGCTTGCATCTTGCAAAATATTACTCTTTGATAGTCGCCATTTCAGATAATCAATTAAAGAAAAATAAAGAGAATCACTTAATTTTACTCCCATTCCAAATAATAAATGGAACGATGAATGTCATTAAACTCTGTTATCCAAGTGGAGAAATGAATGGATGAAAAACATCAATAGGACAATAATTTAGTAACGACAGGAGTAGCAATGTGAAAAGATTAATAAACACCTGGATCTGATATGCAAGTCTGATGACGGATGATTAGATATCAGGACTGCTCAGCTCACTCCACAAAGATCTCGAATTTGGCAAAAACTAAACCAAAAATCTGAACTACTCTAACACCACACCTCCTCTTGTCAACTAAATAATTAGAATGATATATTATTGACTATAAACTAATGAAATATAACTTTGGCCAGTGAAGGAAAGTCTACAAGTTATATATCAGACAGTAAAGTGACAAGCAGATCAACAGTCCCAATCCAAATAAAATAAATAAGCGCAATAAATTATATCGGATTTGATATTCCGCTGCTGCAGGTACTGGCGGCATTATCCGAGTAGAATACGCCAATTCAGGTCCTGGAACCATATGCAATTTTCAGGTAAGTTGGAGTGCTGTAATGGCATTATAATAGAATAATTATTGTAATCAATTGTATATGCAATAGGAAAAAAGAGCAAAAGAGAACAAAAAGTGTTTTATAAATTTGATTATGCAATGATATAGTAATTGACATTGGTGTGGTGTAAATGACCTTGGTCATCTCGAGAAGTTATACAACGGTAGTTGACTGTGTAATGACAAATATTACCATTAAGCAGCATTAGATGATTACAATAACCTTGAAAGTAGTAATTCGAGAACAAAAAAAACACACGCAAAAAAATGCATTGGAATGAGGGGAGACAGTCCTCTGTGGTCCTCTCTCTCTCTCTCTCTCTCT